TCACAATCAATGTGGGATAACCTCAACAACCTCCCCTTTCACACATAAGACTGTGGGGGAGAGTTTTTATGCTCGACTTATAGACAGATATTAGTAACTTGACTCTAATATAACTTGTTGAGATTTTTCAAGCAGAATCGTATTTCACAATGAGATTAATATGAAATAAATCACAAACACAAAAGACAATATTTGACATGATTTGACCTTAGTTGCCTACCTACATGGATGAGAAAGAAGAATCCATTATAAACATAAAGATTACAAAAAGTATAAAATACCAAAAACAAACACTAATCTTGAACTTTGGAAACAAACCAAGTTTTTATGCTTCCTATTATTTAATCTATGGCACATCCTTTATCCCATATAATCCGGTGTTTTTTTTTTTTTTTTTTACATTTTTGCATACCTATCTCTCACATAAAGATCACACCATAATTATAACTCTCAGATTAAGATTCATTTTATATTTATAGAGTCTATTACTTCATTATCAAGAATTTCTATTAACTAAAAACTTTTATCCATTAAGTATATTTACCTTTAAATAAACTTAACTATCAAGTAATTCTCAAACTAATAAACTTTCATCAAAATCTAAACTAATTCTCAATTAAAATTTGAATGAATATTTAATTGGGATGTAAACTTTGACATGCATTAAATATTCAAGTTAAGTTTGGAACTTATGATGAGACAACCATTTTATAAAAAAAGGATATACAGCTGTTTGATGAGACACATATATCTATAGGTCTTTTTCAACAATATGCTTTGCAAAAAGCTAGTGTTTAAATTATATATATATATATATATATATATTATATATATATAAAAGCTTCATGATATTATTCTTTTGCATTTTAGTTTTTTTCCTTCTTGCATTGTTTTATGTAAATTTTTTTTCATCGGGAGTTTTTTTTTTCAAAAAATTAAAAATAGGCATTCATCTTATAGATAAAAGATTCAAGAACAATTATAAGATTGAGAGCGAAAAATACACGAAAAAGGAAACACAAGATATTGAAATAACATATAATTTGACTCTGCAAGAAATATTTATATAATCTTTATAAGCGAATGACACACTCTTTTTTTTTTTTTTTTGGGTGTCCAAAGAATACCCACATTTTGCTTACAATGATTGATTGTTGATGATGCCCTCTACTTTTCCTTTGAATGGGTCCTTTTCACATAGGACATAGATCTATACGTTGGCTCTTTCCTTCTTTACTTTCTTATCTCATTTTATTATCAATCTTTCTTTCCACATTGAATTTATTTATATAGACAGCGTATCAGATTCGAAAGACTCATGTATTCTTCATCAATATCTCATGCAAATCGACAACAATTGGAGAACTTTGCATCGCCATGGATTGCGTCATAGTACTATCATTGAACCCACCATTATCGCTTTCCATTGAAAAAAAAAATGCCATGTTTTTTTTGAAAGGGAGAGTTAAATTTTGGACCTCAAGTTTCCAATTTGATTTTGTAACTTAATTTATTCAACTATCATGCATCCATGTCTTTTCAATTTCAGCATGATATAATATTTTAAGAATCGAATTTGATTTGCAAATAAATTTAGACAATATCATGTTCCATATCTATCCAATTTTAGTGTAATAGATTTTATGAATATCATAAATGTTTCATACCTTTCCATGTTTTAAGAATATCATAAGAAATAAAGAATTTTTTTCACGAATTAAGTTCTTTAATTTTATTTCTTTAATAAGAATACTTTTAAATTTATTTAAAATAAATATATTTTGATTCAATTAATCTTCGTGCTAGTAATTTATTTTACCAGGGGTGAAGTTGGAGGGGGACAGGCAAAGGCCATGGCACCCGAAATTTTTTACCTTTCTTATTATACAATGATCAATTTCACCAAATTATTACTTTGATCTCTTCTTCTCCTTTGAAATTATTGTTTGGTTCCTCTTTTACCAATTTTCTGCCTTCACCTCTGATTCCGCCTCACACATACATTCATCTTTTTTATATTTTTTTTCAAAACCAGTCTCCAAAGTCAATATTTTTGCTTTTGAGAGATCTCAATTATGGGATAAAAATAAATTATTCTAAAAATAAAGAAAGGAGTAAGCTTTAATTTGCATTCATTAATAAAGAATTTTCGTTTACGATGACTGTTCATTATAAAATTTTTCATAATATCTATTGCAATTTAGAAACAGACTAAAACATAACAATAAATTCATTGCTAGAGGATAATATACATGGGTCCCTGTGTTTGATTCCATACAGGAGATGAGCTTGGTTGCAATAAAGGTCACCATGATGTCGTCCATTGTGCATGGTTCTTATCTGAAGGGGAGAATATATGGATGAGGAGAAGATGGTTTCATACGGGCAAATCTTTTCTGTAGTATTTTAAAATCCAAACAACTCCAAATTAGAGAGAGGTGGAAGATAGAATCTAAATCTAGAACAAAAAAAAAAGCAAAAGAATTGAAACAAGAAAATGGAAAAAAAAAAAAAAGAGATTACATCATGAAAATTAAAGAGTTTTTTGTTTGTTCATGATTTTTTCAAGAATCGTAATCTTTGAATTGTTGGGATATGGTTCACATGTGAGTAAATAATCTTATATCATTAGGAATTCTGAATGAGATGACTTATATATGCATGAAGAACCCCAAAACCTAATAGCTTAAGCTTTTGGACTCAAGTGGTATTCAACATGTATGTATAAACTCTCTGGTGTGCTTTCATAAGCTCCAAGTGTGGTTTATCTCACCAACAAGTGATATCAAAGCCAATGTTACGGTGGGTTTGAGTCCCAATGGTGTTGCTGGAGGAGAGATTGTTGACAGATTGGAGGTTGATCGTGTCTATCAACTTTATGTGCTCGAACGTCGGTATTAAAAAGTTCAGCTTAGATACAGTGAGTCTATGATAATATGTAAAAGCGGAACATCCAAGTGGATGATATATTGAGTCAATTTGGAGTGTAAGCTTGAGGGAACATTGAGAAAACCAGGGTGACAAGGTTGAGTGCTTTGACTTGCCCCAAAAAGCGTACAGAGATGTAAGATTGCCTGGCCAAAGTTGAGTGATATGGCCTACCCCAAAAAGTGCACTAGAGATGTAAGGTTGCTGGCCCAAATGAAGTATTGATAAAACTTACTTGCACATGGAAGATTGTTAGAAAATGGGTCACATGTGAGTAAAAAATCTCACATCATTAAAAAATTTGAATAAGATGTCCTAAATATACATGAATGATCTAAAAATCTAATAGTTTAAGCTTTTGAATTCAAGTAGTATTCAACATGTATATATAGATTTTTGATGTGCTCCCATAAACTCCAAGTATGGTTTATCTCTCCAAAATGAATCAAGGGTTCTGTTTGTTCATAGTGTAAGACTTGCATGATCTTTTCAATTTCCATTGTTCAGTGTTTTTAGTCCAAGACTTATGTGATCTTTTCAATTGTTGGTAATTTTTTTTTGAATAAATCATGAATTTTTCTAACTTATATGATCTTTTCAATTGTTGGAATTTTTTTCTTGAGTAATCATGAGTTTTTTAGGATCTTATTGAAAAGATACAGCAGCACGCCAAACAATAATCTTACAACAGCTTGCCTAGCAGCTTTGTCAAATAATAATGACCAATAAGGTTGATTGAATTAGTATGCCAAACAATAATCACGGTCAACAAGGTTGATTGAATTATTAAGATTCGAAGAGTCGGTTTAGATTTGAATCTCCTTTATTTTCAGGGAAATAATCATCTTTAAAAAATCATATTTAATTGATTTAAAATTTTGAAATTCATTTGTTAAAATTTGAAATTAATTCTTTTAAAATGAAATAACATATAACAGATTTAAAATTTAAAATTCATTCTCTTAATATGAAATATCATCATACTGATTTAAAATTTGAAACTCATTCTTTTAAAAGTTATTTTCTTTTCCAATCATTCTCTTATCTCATTCTCTTAATTGATATCGGATTTGGAAATCATTTTCTAAGATAAACTAAGAGTTTATTTGAATGGATGATAAGATCAATTTCGATGAAATTAAAAATAGTGATGACGATAAGATTAATTATTATAGTGGTGATATTAAATATTATAATGATGAAATTAAAATTAATGATAAAATATGTATTTTGATGAAAAACAACAGCGAAGTAAATTATAGTAAAAAAAAAATTGACCATTAAATATATTAAAATAAAAATTATATTAACAAAAAATTAAATTATTTAATATTTATAAAATTAATTAAATATTTATTATATAATAAATAAAACTTATTTATTATAATAAATTAATAAATTTATTTTATAAAATTTTAAATAAAAAATAAAAAAATTAAAGTATAAGGATATTTTTACCCTTATAATATAAAATTAAAAAAAAATGAAATCCAGTTCATTTTTTAACTGGAGTTAAACCCTCCAGTGAAAAAAAGCAGACATAACACAATTTGACATTAAAACAGATGTTAAACATCAGTGAACACAGATATTAAGCATCAGTGGGAACAAATCAGTGAACACAAATTTTGTTGACAACTGCACCTCCAGTGAGGTGCAGTTGGGTTTGTTGGCAACTGCATTTCACTGGAGGTGCTGTTGAAACCAAATGAAGCAACTCATTCTTTCCCTAGAAGCACAGCTATCATACCAAAACATTTGCCTACCTAAGATTTTCTTGCTTTTTTTTCTAAAATATTTGCCTGCCTAAGATTTTCCTTTTTTTTTTTTTTTTAAATTGCCTAGCTAAGATTTTCATTTTTATTAATTTGTTGAATGCCAAAAGCCCCGTTTGTCATGGAACTCGTTCCAATTCATAATCTAGGATTAATTCCTCTTGGTCCAATCGCTTAATTCATAAAATTGATCAAATATTTTGATAACTGAAAACAAATCTAATTGTATAACAAACTACTATTGGAAAAACATTTTATTTTGTATGACAAACACATTAAAAGCAAAAAGTGGTTCCAACAATAACATTAATACGTGAAAAGAGAAAGAACATTTTAGCTTCTCAATGTGCCTTATTATCAACTGCTACATTATCCTCTAGCTTCTTCAATTCCTCGATAATCCTATATTCTTGTGTATCAACTAGCTGATCAACTTTTCTAACCTCATCAACTGCTACATCCTCTTCAATCTCATCATCACTTTCAGTCACTCTTCCTCTTATACCTTGCGCAGTATCTTTAGCTGCCATCCAAGCTCTATCCAGGGTCCCCTTAGCAGTATCTCCCACATTTTCTGCCATCTCCACCGCCTTTTTTATTCCATCTTTAGCAGTATCAGCCGCGAAGCTGGTGGCGCCGCCTGGCGGCCTTCCTTCTCTGGTGGCAAATGATTGATGTTTGGCTTCGTACATGCCTTCTCTCATGGCATCCCTTGGTGTATCAGGCATCTCTGATGATTCTTCTCCTTCTACTAACGCATTACTTCCCTGAATATTAATAATTTTCCTTAGATGCTTGAAAACAATATTAGTAAATGATGAATTTAAAAGATTAATTCTTACTTCTGTACGTTCGTAAGCAGTAGATAAGCAAGCCCTGGTAACTCTTCCGGTAGACTGGTTTCCAGGATGGCCCTGAGGCAAGAATTTTGGGATGTTGGACAGAGCTCTCTTTGCCAAAAATGTTGCTTCCATTTTCTTGTATAATTTTTCTTTTGTTGTGCTTAAAACTATTATTCTCTCCCACCTCTTCACCAGGTTGTTCCTAATTATACTCAGTTTTCTTGATGATGGTGTCAGAAAAACAAAGGAAATTTGTCATGTAAATAAGTGACACGTGGGAGGCGTAGGACACGTTTTGGTCATTTTACGACAAGGTGAGGATGAGTCATTTTTTGGGTTGTTTAACACTTTTTTGGTTTTAAAGTTTGAGAGTTTAGTCATGGTGGTGCTGTTCCAGGGGATGATCGATCCATTCAGGGTCTAACCTGCTCGATCAGGATTCAGGACCCTAGCTAGGATGTTTCGTATGGACTCATTTTAGATCTCTATTTGGGCTTTAATTCTAGGTCTATTAAGTAGTTCATTTTTTTTTTTTTACCGTTTGTGTAAATTGATAAATCATATATTTATAATATATTTTATAAAAATTATATATTATAATAAATATTGACATAAAAATAAAAATATATTTTTTAATTTTCATATTTTTTTCATATCGTTTTTGTGTTACCATGACCAGCTTTAAATTGATAAACTTAAGGTTTTCATCCACTCTTAGTCTTTGGTTTGGTATGATTACGTCTAATTCAGGCCTAGACCACAAGATTTATCCGGCCCAAGGCTTGAAGCAAACTAACATAAAATCTTGTCTTTTTCTTAAAATAGCTTGGCCACAGGAGGGAAAATGAAAAAAGCAAACGCAACCAAGAGAAGAGATGAAAAGTGTGAAAAAATTTGTCTTTCCTCCTTTTCACGACCATAATCATGCTTTTCCTGTTCAAGTGAGAAACTAGCGATAACAAAACATTTAAAAATCTACATCCTAATTAAATGTTGAAGTCTTTTATTGTCATAAATAAAGATTAAAATACTAAAAAATTTATTTTATTATTTTATTTAAATAAATTTTTATATTTTTATTGTATTTAAATAAATTATTATTTTTTGATTTGTATTTAAATATATCCTTATTTTAAATAAAAAAATTAATTTTTGTTTAGGGCTTATTTAGGTATAAATTAAAGAATAAGAATTTATTTGGATATAAATTAAAATTTAAAAACTTATTTGGGTGTAAAATTAAAGATAAAATTTTATTTGGATTTAATAAAAATATAAGAGTTTATCTAAATATAATGATAAAATTCAAGAGTTTTTTTTAATAGTTTTAGTCATATAAAACTTAATATATTTTTTTTCATTCTCTATAGATAGAATAGGAATGGGTTAACTATAAAAAATTACCCCTAAACTATACCTTTTCTATCCATTTGGTACTTAAAAAAATTGTTAGACTAATATATGAACTTTCATTTTGTTATCATGTTGATATATTGGACTAACACTATTTATCAATTTTACTAGCATGACATGAATATCTAATAAGATATTGACATGTATAAAAAAATTTCAGTTTAGTGCAACATCATCGATGTCACGCCATTGTTAAAAGAAATTTTCAAAAAAATTTAAAAAAATCTAAAAAATTTTAAAAGTTTTTAAAAATTATGAAAAATTCAAAAAAGTTTTTAGAAATTCTAAAAAATATAAAAATATTTTAAAAAATTCAAAAATTCAAAACTTCAAAAAAATAAATATTTTTAAAAAGTCTAAAAATTTTAAAAAATTTCAAAAATTAATGAAACTTAAAAAATTTCAAAAAAATCTGAAAATTTTAAAAAAAATTCCAAAATTTTCTAAAAAATTTCTCAAAATTAAAAAATAAAAATTTTAATAAAAAAATTCCAAAAATAAACAACTTAAAAACTTAAAAAGTAGTTAAAATAAAAAATCTAAAATTTTTTCAAAAAATAAAATTTGTTATAAAATTGTAAAAGATTTTTAAAAAGTTATGAAAATTTATCATATTTTTCGAGTCTTACAAATTTAGTTTTTTTAAATATTTTTTGAAAATTTCAAAAATTTTTATAAAATTTTGATTTTTATTTAAATTTTAAGTTTTTTTTTTTTTTTCAGATTTTTCAAAAAATTTTAGAATGTTTCAAAATCTTGATATTATTTAATTTAAAAAAATTTAAAATTTAAATATTTTTTGATTTTTTGTAAAAGATTGTGAAAAAATTTATATTTTATTTAATTTTCAGTTTTTTAAGTTTTTGTGGTTTTTTTAATTTTGAGAAAATTTATTTTTAGTGAATTCTTACTTTCTTTTAATTTTTTTGGATTTTTTAAATTAAATTTTAAATTTTTTTGAAATTTTAAAATTATCATAATTTTTATAATTTGTAAAAATATTTCTTATTTTTAATTTTTTAAATAAATTTTAAAAATTTAAAAAGATTAGAATTTTTTAAAAAATATTTTTTAGAATTATTTTAGAGTTTTTAGAAAATTTTAGTATTTATAAGAAATTTAAAAACTTTTTGAAAATTTTTTAGAATATTTATTAAAAGTTTTTAGAATTTTTCAAAAAACATGAAAATTTTTTAGAACTTTTTTTATTTTTTCTAATTTTAAAATTTTTATAGAAAATTTAGTGTATTTTAAAATTTTTTTAGTATTTTAAAAAATTTTTATTATTTTTTGAGATTTTTTAAAATTTATTAGAATTTTATAATTATTTGTAGAATTTTTCTTTTTACGTTGATGTGGCGTTGATGTTGTAGCGTTGATTGAACTTTTTTGACATGTGTTGTATTTTATTAAATGTTTATACCATGTTATCAAAGTTTTCTAGCGACATTAGTCTCAAGTACTAACATGATAAGGGAATGAAAGCTTAGATACCTATCTGGTAGTTTTATTTCTTAATATACTAAATTAATAAAAAGTGTATAATTTAATAGTTATTTTTAAATTTAACTTTTCTTTTTTTCTTTCTTTTCTTTTTCTTGTATACTTTCACTTTTGACAAATTGGGCTCAAAATTTTAGAACTCTATTTATTACAAACTTGCTTTTTGATTGTGGCATTCTTTACTTGTCTAATATTCTCTCAAATTGAAACTCATTCATATTAGCCCCATAATGTGGAATGTGATCTTGGTGAGAGTTTATTCAAAAATTTTAATAAGCTCAAAAGGATAACAAATGAAAAGTTCATTTTTGTGAAGAGAATGTCAAAAACGGTTATTTATTATATCAAATATAGATATTTCATTAAAAATCAATTCTTATGAAAAACATTTTTCATTGCTTTTGAAATCATTTGAATGCCTCATATGCAAGATGTTACAATTAATTATTTTCTTTTCTTTTCTTTTTTCAACTCATGCTCAAGATGTATCATTTCAATTTGTTATACTAGGGGAAGTTCTGATGTAACAATTTATATTTTCAAATCCGCTTTGGTTATTTATGTAATCTACATTCAATTAAAGATAAAATGAATGCCATACGAATCAAGATAAAGGGATATTAGAGATATAAAATAATTTTATTTTGTGGGTATTTGCCCTAAGATGTGGGTAAGGATAACTTTGGAAAAAAATGAACGAAAGAGAAAAGGAATGTTGCATAAGTCAAGATGTGAAATAAGGATATTGAGGGATTATGGCATTTTGGTGGTTATGTGTTTAGAATAGTTTTTACACTCATCACATTATCGAAACTCAAAACTTTTAAGCAAGTGCATCATGTATCAATTTACAAAAAATTTTGCAAATTAACCAATCCTTTCATTGCTCATAGCCTTAATGAAGATCATTAGTCTTGAAATCTATTTGGTCAAGTGAAGATAAGGTTAATGAGACTTAAGGAGTATGAAATAATTAATGACACAAATGGGTATGTTTATTTTTTTATAGTTTTCACCAATTTTCTTAAGATTATTTTCACATTTTTGTAAAAACAAGTTATATAGGAAATTGAAAGAAAACTTATGGAAAAATTCAAAAATTTGAAATCTTCCCATAAATAAATTGTTTGATGCTTAACATATAAAAGAAAATTTTAATCTATTGCAAAGTAGATTTTCGTTGCTTCATAAGCTTAATAGTCAAAGTGCCATTGTTGATGAGATTTTCAATCTTTTTTCTTGAACATTTTCATTGTTCCTAAAAAAGTCACTTTTATAATAATGATATCAAAATCACCTATTTCGTATCCATACTAATTTATGTCAATTCAAATATGAATATCTTCACAACAAATGCTCCAATATATTCATTTTATCGTCATAAATTTTCAAATTACAATAAAAGAATTTACCCCACATAACTATTCCATAATAAAAACAAAAATGCATATTCATTTGAAAACATGTGATTGAATCTTTCAAAAATTGTTGATTACTACATAGAATGATGGAAGTAAATCACAACTTGGTCTTTCTAAAAGGATGAAATGGTTTGACCATCAATATTTTAATTATCAATAGAGATTTTGCCAGTAAATAGGAAAAAATTAATATTTTGTCATCTAGACTCGCAATTGAAAAGTTATCTTTTAAAACATAATCCATTTTTACACTCTCTTAATTTTTTGATATGACATTTTAATAAATGTCAAAATTAGTTGTGACAGGTTTAAAATTTATGGGAAAAAAAGAAAGGTTTAAATTTTAGAATAAATCTTCAAACTATGATTAATCTTCTTGAATTTTTCAAAAGTTTTCATTGTTCATTGCCCATTCAAAATCTCTTCTTGTAATGAAATTACAATAATTGCTTTCAAATTTAAATCTTGCTTTAGACTACCTTTTCAGGTTTTTATTTTATAGCTTAGTTCCCTTTTTTTTTCTTTTGATTATTTCACTATGCATTTGAAAACTCAAAATTCATCTAAAACCAAATGATACACACTTATCAGAATGGACTTTCAGAGCACGTAATGAGTCTGAGGTTTATGGTTTTGAAAAAAAAGATAAATAAGTAAAAAAAATATTTAAGGGTAATTAAACCAAGACTCATTTTTTCCCCAAAGACATTGTTTTAAAGCATGTGCTTGTTTTTTCTTTTTTTTTTCATGTCATTTCTTTTTCTTGCATGTTTTCACTTTTGACAAATTGGGCTCAAAATTTCAAAACTCTATTATTACAAACTTGCTTTTTGAATGTAAGCATTTTTTACTTGTCTAATATTCTCTCAAATCGAAACTCATTCATATTTGCCCCTTAATGTGAAAGGTGATCTTCGGTAAGAGTTTACTAAAAAAAAAAGAATTTAACAGGCTTAAAAAGGGTAACAAATGAACAATTTCATTTTTGTAAAGAGAATATGAAAGATGGTCATTTATTATATCAAATATAG